GGAAGTTTGAAAGTAGCGCCAGTGGTGGAGAAATTGAGAAGCAAAAGGTTAGCGTGGTATGGACATGTTATGCGACGAAATGATGGGGACCTAAACCAGAAAGTGTTGAGATTGAATGTGGATGGCTACAAAGGAAGAGGAAGACCGAAGAAAGTATAGATGGATTGTGTGAAAGAGGATTTGCTTAAGAAAGGAGTGGATTCAGATATGACGGCTGATAGAAATGTATGGAAGAGCAGCACATACTGTGCCGATCCTCCATAAGGGATAAGAGCAAGTGGATGATATGAGTTAAAAATATAAAGAATGGTTTCTATCCAACAGATAATAAGCATAAAATGCTTACTAATTTATTACTGCCCAAACATTCATAGTAGAATTTAATAGAAATGAGAAATTTGACAGAGCTAATTAAATAATTACTTATTAGTAATAGATGTGTTTATATCCTTAAATAAAACAAAGAAATTACAAACTAAATCCCTAGACAATAAATGACATTTTCATTCTCATAGCATTGTTACCAACTAAAATTATAGTACTCTATCTCGATTTAAAAAAAAGTAACAATATGTCTTTGTAAGGAAACTCACTTTTACTAAAAAGTAATTAATATATAGACATAGAAATAAAAAATTAAATCTCTAACTTCTAAGTTAATTCAAGATTTTTTTGCAGAAATTATAGAAGCCACATTTCTCACGTTTAATGCCACTATTTTCATATATCATGATAAAATTTCACTCCGGTGATTTTGTCCTTTTATTGTTAAAGGGAATGTAAAGGATAGCAATATATAGGACTAGTTACTGCAGTAGGAATCAAGGAACGTTTATCAATCACGAGAGTTCAGAAAAATCACGAAACAATTCGCAAGTTTCGTAGCCATAACTAGCAATAAGTTATCACAAGTTCACTGTAAGCCATTCATTATAAGGTAAGATAATAGCCTATAAGAATTTCATTGTAGTCAGATGTCTTCATGTGTTACCCATTCGTAAAACAATCAGTTCGTCCGCAGTGCTCCTTGTGAGCAATTCTCTGTTAAATAATAAAGTCTTAGTTTTTTTAAAACACTACTTCGAGCTCCCAACTTAACTGGCACAGTCGAAAAGGTAGGATATAGCAAGCGTTTGGTAAAATCCCAGCGCATATATTCTAGAAAAAAGAACTCAAGAAGCCAAGTTGCAGTAACAAACTTAGCAAAGCGGCGAATTCCTGGGTCCACCTCCAGTCGAGAAAGGAAACAAAGGCAACGCAGAAGATGCTCTTGGGGTAAGCGATAACACACAAAAACAATCTACTTCGAACTTCATACTTAACTCGCGCAAAGGTGAGAAATAATTAGTAATCAATAAATTCACCATACACCTGATGGAAGGTTCAAAATTTGATTAAAACTCGTGATTAATAGACGCCCTTACAAAATGACTGGCACTGCCTTATATTAATAATCTTCTAAATCATCTTGTTCAATGTTAGACACATCAAGTAATTGTTCATTATGAACATCTACTATCTCTTCCAGCTCATTATTTTCAATTACTTCTGTTAATTCCTTAATATCTTTCACCGGTTCTTTCTCGACTTTCTGTACGTCTTTAAGTTTTACTTCAGCGGATACATTATCAACAATTTCAATATGTTTTATTTTTGCATCTGTTTTCTCTTCTTTCAGATCATCCGCGCCTTCATCATCGCCGATCATTTCATCATCTATTTCATCAACTATGCCTCCTGCTATTTCTTCACCGAATTCCTCATATTCATCGCCACTTGTATGTTCATTAGTGGGTGGTTTTTTATCAGCTTTTTTGGACTTTTTGTTAGGTCCGGCGAGGTGCAGCGGTTTGAAGGACATTATCAGGCCATCACCTGTTACAAGAAAAAATAAATTAAACCCAACTCAGATACTTAGATTAGGTAGGATCTTTAGTAGGTATTTTTAATCTGAAGGACCGATTATATTAGACTAGAGACTATTACGAAAATGACAGGATAACAATAAAAAGCAATTAACTGTGTACTGATCGATTTTTTTCGTACAGAAACATTTTAAAACTGTGGTATTGGCTTAATTTCGCGTCGTCAATGCATACTCTATTTTCAAAAACTCGCAGTGGGCCTAGTCATCAAACTTAGGGTACAGATATAGATCTACAACATTAAAAAATATAGACGAGGCAGAGAACAATTTTTTTTTCACCGGTGCTTTCTCTGAAAGGTGCCTCGTGTCCTTGTATTGACATGTATTACAACATTATAGGATAGCTGCTAAGACATATTATTAGTCCCTTTCCCGCCATTTTCTTATACGGGAAGGATGGGAAGGGAAAGCGGAGGAGACACATAGGAAGGGGAATTATCTTTTTGTGCGTCTTTTCCATTAAGGGTTGAGAACGCATCTGCAATTGCGGATGTATGGGTAGCAATCGCTCGTTGAATTCAGTTGGGCGTTTGCTACCTTACAAAATAGTAGGGAAAATTTGTTGATGACTAGATATTTACCTATATCGATATCCTTCTTGGTGCATAGATAATCATAGCTGGGGTAATCCTGACAGACTACTACGCAGAGCTTGCCGTAGGCGGATTTCCTGCAGCTGATGACGCCGTACGGCTTCAGGAGCGGGCCGACCTCGCGCACGCGGAACTTGCCGTTAGCGAACATACGCAGCGGCAAGTTGCACGTCACGTTCAACAGGCGCTTAGTTATGTCCAGTTTTATCACCTGCAAATTGTAACACGATTATTTAATTGTTGTTTATTTAAAAAAAATGGATCTGGATGTTGGGCAGTAAAAGGAACGGATGAAAGAAGACTACACGTGACAGAAATGCGAATGTTAAGATGGATGTGTGGGGTAACACGAATGGATAAGATACGAAATGAGTATATTAGAGGAAGTTTGAGAGTA